TCCTCCTTCTTCACGGTCACCAATGTCGTACATGAAGGCTGACTGACTGTAGAAGCATTTGGTCACTTCTTCTTTCTCAGTGAATCTGGTTCTTCCCCAACGTTTCCCTCGCGGCATGACGTTCTTCGGGAGCTTGTCTTTTCTGCCTCTTGTCGCAGCTTTGGATCTTTCCGAAGACGATGGGGATTTGGACTTCTGGTCCATGATCAATCTCATGCGCCATAAAGTGTCCTTCATGTTCTCGTCATCTGGTGTGGTACATTCATCAATGTCATGCATTCCACCACAAATGAAACAATATTGAACACTCGATGCGTCGGCAATCAACTTCTCAAATTGATCACGGATGTTCCGCACCTCAGTTCGGCGCTTCTTCGCTTCCGAAGGTTGGCCCCCCATGTCCTCTTCATCCTCCTCAATTTCGATGTCACCACCTCCGGCATCAGTTTCTCCTGAAGTCTGTTCTGCTCGAGGGCCTCGCGCCGTAGGCGACGTGGTCTCCTCTTCATGTTCACCAACTTCATCCTCCTCCTCATCGCTTGATGAGACTTCAATCATTTCAGGATGGTCATCGTAGTTGGCTTCCGGGAGCACCGGCATTCTGGTGATCTTCTTCTGCAGGAGTAGGTTGAAGATTCCCGCTTTTTTCAGGACTCCCGTCACCATATCGTTCTCGACCGGTGGGATGTATGCTTTCCTGGATCGGTTTCTCTTCGTGTTGATGGTGTCGGTAGGTCGACATGAACTACTGAAGAGCCAGAATGATTCTTCCAGTCCTGCGAGGCAACTGTCAAGGTTTGCCCCCCATCCACCAAACATAGTAGGGAATTGAATACCCAGGTCAAGCATCCCAAGCCAGAATTCGAAAATGTCGCCGACATACTCAGCTGTCGCGGTTGGATTGAGCATGGATGCAATCTCCTCCTTGGTCAGCACGGTCTTCATGTAGTCATGATAAGCGACGTTTCCACCATCCCAAAGCAGTCTGTAAAACCATCGAATTCGGTGTGATCCACCTCCGCAATCCTCTGTACGAGTTTCACGTTGCACAGTGAATTGGGGCAACAGGTCTCGTCTGCATTTTCCCTTCACCATGTATGCAGGCATGCGGATGGCACCTCGATGTGATACCTGTTTGAGTACATCGCTTGTCGTCCTGTATCCTGATAGCATTGCAAGTGTCGCAGTGACCAAGAATCCACGGAGGTCCTTTTCGGCTTCCATTTCTCTCCAGTCAACGCACTCATTGTAGATGTTGAGCAATTTTGCAGCTACTCTTGCATCCTGTGAGAATTCATCCATCCCAATGTCTTCAGTTCCGTAGATTGCCGCTTTTGTCCAGTTGCTTGCGCAATTCAGACATCTTGTGCGGTTCTCAGTGCAGGTATTCAATCTCGAATCATTTTGATGAAATCCTTTGCGCACATCGCACATCAATTCGGAATCTTCGGTTACCTCAACCCAATGCTCATCCACATCTGTCAGGGGCTCCGGGGTGAATACTCCTCGTCGGATGTCTGACCATGCTTTTCTCTGGACCGAATCTTTCATGTGCTTCATCCCTCCGATGATGTTTGCCGATCCAGCTTGAGCATCTGTGATTTCTCCCGCACGAATGCTGGGAACAATTCGTGGATGTTCAGTGCATCGTTTGATGGTTTCAATGTCAAATCCGGTGTTCTTCACATGGACACATTCTTCATTCAGGTCATGGACAGTATCATGATCCATGGCACAGTGCAAGAAGACCTTCTGTCGCATCAGTGACTTTTCGAGCATGGCCCAAATAACTTCCTTACCTTCACCTTCTTTCCAATAGAAAGGCTCACGTCCACATGCATATATCTGTTTCCAGAATCTTTCATTGGTGGAGTGAATGATGCCCTTTTCCTTCAAGATTCTTGCAAGCTCCTCGGCCATGGATACAATCGAAGATTGGGACCCAAGAAACCGGGCGTCTTTCAGAATGTTGACGAAAATTGGAAGAGGTGCTGCTTGGCTGATATCTGTGATGATCTCCGCCAATTTGATGATGAAGTCTGCATTTGGCATCAGCATGCGATTTTGTCCTCTGAACAGTGCTGCGAAAGAGATCCAAATATGAACCGTGGCACTTGAGAACGTGTTGGCGTTGGTTCGTAGGAAAGTCAATGCTTTCGTTGCCAGTTTCAAGAAATCCTCGGGCTTCTCTAGGGATTCATAGGGAAGTTGGTACACCTTGATGGATGAAAGACCCATGTTGTTGAGCCCAGCCTCAATGTCATTGATGATTCTCGAGCTAGATCTCGTTTGGTAGGTCAAATCCGTCAAGATGAGGGCCTTGTTGTTTCTCACCTGTCCTCCCAATTCGTCCCATTGGTCCATCCAAGGCTTCCCGATGATGAACTGTCCAATCTTGTTTCCCAACTTCTTGAGCTTGTTTCGAATCTCGCCCTCCACTGTATCTTCAATGCCCAATGTCAACATAGCTAGGACCTCCGTAACTGGATATCCTTTGCATCTGACAAACTCGGTGGTCGTGATGATGTAGTGGTAGAGCTTCAACCATTCGTAGTCGCTCTCATTGATCATGTGGGAGTCAAGTTGTCCTTCTGTCAACATGTTGAAAGACAGAGCAGCATGAAATTTCAATCTTCTCAAATACTGTTTCCAGACCAGATTGGTTCCATACTTGTAAGTAGTGTGAGGGCCCTCTACGATGGAAAGCACAAAATCTTTGCCGGATCGCAAGAATGCGATTCTCTGCTCTTCGCGTGCATAATCTTCGGCAGCATGGAGACGCACTTCCACGGTTGAAGGTTTCCTCCTCTTCATCCAGTCTTCAGTTGGAATCCAATTTTCATCTCTTTCTGGTTCGGTACGACCCTGAGATGTCGCTCCAGGTCCAGATCGGAAAGCTGCATGGGTCGACGAAGATGCACCTCCGCCCGTCGATGATCTTGGCATCTTTTTCGGTTGAATGTTCGAACTTTGTGATTGCTGCGATGCCTGTGGTTGTGGTCCCTCCGGAGGAGTGGACGCACTCTGGGCACTTGGTCCAGTTGATGTATCATCATTTACCCATGAAGGTTCCTCATTGTTCCAGAAGTCAACTTCGTCGGGTTTTCGTCCATCATTGAAATTCAAGGGGATATCCCAGTCGTCGAAATTGTGCATGCCTCCAGCTGTTCCAGCCTGAGTCTCAGTCATCACTGTGGTGAAATCTTTGAGGGAACTGTGACAGGCATGACGTCTTTCTTTCTCAGTGTACCTGGCTCCTTCATCGGCAATCGAGACATTGTAACCATGTCCAATCAGGATTCCCTGAGGGATGTCAAAGACTTTGAGGATCGAGAACTGGATCTCGGATAATTCTGCTATCTTCGACAAATTCCCATCTCCTCGAGCGCTGGTCTTGTGTCTCTCGAGTGTCGTGCCGAGGGCCAACAAACATAAGAAATGATTCTGGGCTGCACTCCTTCCTTTCGGTTGGTTGGTTTCAAAAGCGATCACATTTTTCATCACATCCTGCAAGATGATCTGATTCGATGGGTTCTGCTCGTTGTGATATCTCAATGCATGTCCTAGGTGCCTCATCTGGATCTCAACCATGTGCTTCATTGCCTTCAAATAGCTATCATTGTCAGATGGAGACTTCGGATTCACCTTGGTCAGCTCGTCCATGACTTTGAAGTATTCGGCGGTCCTTGTCACAGCTAGCCATGATGTTGCACTTGGATCTGTGTTGAATGACGGTGTTCCTCGATAAATTTGTTTCATGCTTCGGATCTTCGCCTCAGTTTCTGCAGCGGTGGCATGATCATCAAAAGGTTCGGGAAAGTGTCCTTTGGACAATACGATCCAGAGCTCATCAAGTCTGTCATAGATCTCTTTGTCCATGAAGCGTCCCATAGTTGCGTCTTCATATGGGCATCTGCTGGCAAAGACCTTCATGAATCTCGACCCTTTTGACAAAAACTCCCATCCGGAACACTTCTTCTCGATGTCCTGCGCTCTCTGCAATAACTTGTAGGCTACTTCCAGGGCTTGCGCAGTTACTTCACTAGTGTGCCTGGAATTCGCGAAGTAAGCTGAGTAGACAACTGCAGGCGGATGCCAAATCTAATCCATTGATTGGCTGTGTCCTCATCTGAGATCAGGCGAAAGTTCGAGCCTCGGGTGTCTCGGAATGGTGATGGAGTCTTGGCTGCAATCCAGGACGGGCCAACGGTACCTATACAGCTAACGGGCCTTAAAAGAGGCTAACGAGACATATAAACGTGTCAGGAAGCTTGCCCATGAGCATCCATCAATCAACTGCGAACTTTGCAGTCAAAAACGATGCTTTGAGCAGCAGCAAGGATGATCTTGATGCCAATGTTGTGACATCTTGAGCCACTGTTGTGACATCTTGAGCCACTGTTGTGACATCTTGAGCCACTGTTGTGACATCTTGAGCCACTGCTGTGACATCTTGAGCCAATGTTGCGACGTCTTGAGCCAATGCTGTGACATCTTGAGCCAGTTTTGTGGCTATACCGTAACCATTTTTCAAATGCGTACTGAAGGAAAAAAACATGTGGTTTCTGTGGCTTCTGACTAAAAAAATGTTGGAATATATATTCGAAAAATCTATATGTGTTTATATCTCTGATAATTCTTTGGTACATACAACAAACAAAACATACTTTTGTCTTCCCACCATCATCATTGTTCAACAAATTTAGCGGAAATGTGGATATATACATATTATCATGTGTCTTCCAATTTCTTATGGAAGAAGTGGGGATCACCCGAAGTAATGATCAAGAGGTTCATGAACAATATGTCTTCGACGTGACCACCCTATTCCAAACGCAGGGGTTATGTTTACACTTTTTGGGGTTTGGTTTTCGGAAAGCACATTGCTAATGAACAAAACAGCTGTCAATCCAATCAGATCCGGGCAGATCCGTTTGTTTTTTTCTAGCAATCCCATCGGATCCGGTCAGATCCGTTTGTCTTTGTTTGTCAAAAGCCGCTCATATAGATATGGCGCCATTCCTCAGCTCACGTTTTGGGCTCGAGGCATGGATCGACACAAGAAGGTGGCCCTTTTGGCAGAAGCCATTTACCAGGGATTTGTAAAGGATGATGGAGGGGAATATCTAAGCAAAACTGGAAACCTGTTTCCGGCCTGCAACCTGCGGGTTCACAAAACCCGAAAAGGTTTCGCTGTGGTTCGGGATGCTTTAGAAGCAAGTGGAGAACGAAGGATTTGGACCAAAAAGTTACTCCAAAATGCCTTGGGTAAAATGATGAAGGATAAGCCCCTAGAGGTGCCTCAAACTCCAGGGTTTACTTGGGCTGAGTGGCTCAAGGATCAGGTGTCTAGGCTGCATCACTTGTCCCAGAGGGCAAGGAAGAACGCTTGGCGGATGGATCAGCTTCAGACCCTTCCCTACAATCCCGAGGACTGGGTTGTGAGCATGTCACCCTTTCCAAGATATGATTTACACACACATATATATATACACAACATTATGTTTTAATAATTTATATGTATGTAAATGTGAGTAATATACACCAATACGGGTTTCGTACATGTAGACCTGAATATATATATATATATAGATAGATAGATAGATAGACAGATAGATAGATAGATAGACATGTGATGGGTTTCTATTTACAAGTATAGATTTGTTGTTAGGATCCTGTTTTCGTCTATCGATCATTGTTTTTAGAATCAAAACCATTTTTCTGATTCTCCAGGAATGTCCCGATGCTCTTGCAGATGGCCCCATGGACACCATTGAAGGTGAGTTCGATTCTTTGACAAATGATGGTGGGGGCCGAGGTGAGTGCAACTATATTTCGACCCACAAAACATTTGCTTATACCATCCTAAATTCAGTCAATGATATATGTTGGTTTCTCCAATCACATCGCGTTCTGAATTTTTGGTGGCCTCGCCAACTGCTGAGGAGAAGAAAACAGATGAAAGCGTCCTTCACGATCCTGAGACAGTTTCCTGGCATCCATTTGCGTTTAAACCAGGGAAACCGTTTTAGCTGTCAGTCTTAGTTTTAGATGGAAACAGTGTTCAATAGCGGTCGCCAATCATAGGGCCCACAAACTGGTTTCAAGATAATAAAGATAATAATTTATAGATGGTCCATAGTCGAATTTATCAAATCCTGCAATCAGACATGCACCCCGGCTCTTCACATCCAAGGCTCGATTGCTGCGTGCAGCTACCTTGCGATTGGGCGAGGCCGACGATGATCACATGGCTGCACTTTAGATGTCCAGCCCTGGAAAATGAAATCAATTGTTAATTCAACCATTACTCCACAATGTGGTCGCTACAGCTACATTTGACTTTTTCTCAATCACGCAGGTTCCATCAACATGTTTTGTCGTAAGGAAAACGGTAAGGATGAGAAGGTCCCCGACATTTCCGTTTCTTGTTTTTTTTTTGCGAGAGATTTTTGGATCAAAATCGGAACCAATCAAAAACAATAAACGGAAGGTTTTTCGATCAAACACGAAAGCTTTTTCGATCAAAATTGAAACTATTCAAAACTGATTGTTTTTTTTTTTTTTCTGAGGTTACATCACCTTCTACTACTGCACCTTCACGATCCCCGGGCAGCTCTGGGGATGTGGCTTCCAGTGGTGGAGCTGATTGGTTTGGAGATTGGGGTGCTGAGTGGGGTCTCGAATGGGATTCCGAAGAATGGGATCGTAAGTGGGACCTGCAGTGGGAGCCTACTGTTGAGGACCTGATGGCCTTGGGTTTAGAAACCGATCCTGAGAAGTGGGATGAGACTTGGGATGAGAAGTGGGAGCTTGAGGAATGGGATCCTAGTTGGGATTTTCAGGAGGATGTTGTTGATCCACGCCAGCTTCACTTTGACACAGTTGGTGCCGAGAGTGCGGGGGAGGTGCCTGAGAAAAAACCCACACCCAAGGAGGTGGATAGTGAGGTTGAAAGTTATCCAATGGTCAGCGGGTTTGTTTGGGACCCCATCAATTTGAAGGAGATTGAGCTTGGCACCATTACCAGCCATAGTGTTGGACAACATGGTCAATGGACAGCGTTTTTTCAGGGTCTTGATGGGAATGACTATAGTGTCACTTGTTTGCCATGTCAAAAACCTGACCAACCAGCCCCAGAATTCGTGGTTAACAAACAGCCCCGAGATGAGAAGATCCAATACACCCCGGTCAGCAAGAATGCCTTTACCAATTTCGCTGAGAAAGCTTGGCCGAAGAGTGCGGAGCCCGGGCCCGGTGGTTCAGGGTTGAACCAATCTTCCCGTGAATTTGTCCCAACAACAGAGGAGGTTGAAATGGAGAGGGTGAAATATCAAGACCAACCTTGTGGGCTTTTATGGGAAGGTGCAAGTATGACCAAGAAGTTTGGCAACAAACCGGATGCCAACACGGACCCACTTGGCCTTGAGACAATCCAAGGGATGACCCTGAAGGAACACATCATTCATGTCCAGTGGTACTCGTCCGCTGCGGACTTCAAGGAAAAGGTTCCCCCAGGCATTTCCCAACAGCTTTGGGAAGAACTTGTTGAAATCTTTAAGATTGTCCACGTCTACGGCATCACTGATTCAGAGATTGTCTACAAGTTTTTGAGGACCATTTGGGCCAATTCGTATTATGGCTGAAATTATTGTTTGGGCCACTGTTTCACAAGTTTCTGTGTTCAGGATATCGTTACCCAACCTTTACTTTCTTCGCAGTGCAAAACCAAGGCATGGTGTGAAAGTTCTCACTTTTACTGACCCAACAACTGATCCAGCGGGCTCCAAGGCTTGGGTATAAGGGGAGATGAATATGACAGTTTCATTCAAAAGCGATGGGTGTTGTTATGCTTAAATTAGATCCTTGTCCTAGTTTCAGTATCCTTGCGGGCAGGTCGGTTGGACCAAGAGGGAGTGGTGGGAGCCTGTGGCCTGCAAATACCTGGCCGAATGGGAATTGGACGTTCCGCTTGCTGTGAAGCGGGGAGATGTTTTGATTGATGTGGCTACTTAGCTTAGATTACCAGGTTCATGTTGACATCCAGCATCAAAAGTTGTTCAAAGATACTTCTTTACAATTGGTTTTTGGTTTGGAAATATTTTGTTTTCCAACGGAGGACCGAAAGTGCTGGCAGTCCCGAGAGGTCAAAATTTCCTATGCTCCCTGGATTTGATTTTAGATATTTTGATAGTTCATGATACAGTTTTTGCCCATGGCCGCATGTCCAACCAAACATGTTTTGGCCATATGGAAATGTTTGTTCTGCAGGTGCCCCCGCCTGATTTTGAAATGGATGATGGCGAAGCCTTGGAGATTCCCGAAGACCCTGCAGTTCCCGAAGACCCAGCGATTCCCGAAGACCCAGAACCCGAGGCAGGTTGCTTTAGACTTTAGACCAAGGTCATGATAAGGAGGTATTACAGTGAAATTATGTAAATACAAAGATAGATAGAGATAGACGGACGGAAGGATTTAAGTAGACATGGGTATAGGAAGAAACAACAATAGATATATAAACAAACCCATGGTGTTTATTGCGCTGGTTTTTTGAAGCCCAACAGCTTACCTGTAGGGTCCATGTGTTTCCCTTCTTTTCTGCAGGCCCCTCCACAAGATGTTGCTATGGAAGCGGGGAACGAGAACCCTGGGGGAGAAGGTGGCAAGGCTTGGGGTTTTGTAAGCACAACTTTTTTGGTAAACTCCATCGAATGTGTCATGTTTTGTGAGAGCTCCAAAGGGTCAAACACAAAGAATTTATGTTTGGTCAGTTTGCAGGGGGGGCCTGCAAGAACCACAGCTGCTCCCGTCCTCTGCTTAGTTGAAAAAAATCACTGGTTTTTGATTCAAAAAAACGAAATGATCATCTAACATATAAGGATGGCTTCTACCTGAAGCTCCCGGCCAACACAGATTCTGATGCTTCACATCTTCCGGAACGATGCTTACACATGTTTCCAGGGGCCCTTCAAAAACCGATCAACCCCCATCGCCAGAAACTGCTGGCCGCTTCCAAACGGGTTGCCAAGGTAGATGCTGTTGACCCCACCAAGGGCGCCGCAAAGGCAAAGGCCAGCAGCAAACGCAAGGCCAAAGCAAAGGCCGTTCCTAAGGTGGAGGCCGCAGGCGCGAAGGAGATGAAGGAAAAGGCACAGGCTGACTACTCGAAAGCCAGGGCTGACTTCATGGAAAAGTTTCTTGGCGTTTATCGTGTTGGCTTCGGTAAGATTTGCACATTGTTTTACAGGTTCCGGTCTTTAAAGCTGATTGCATTTACAATGCGACCCTTTTTGCATGTCAAGTAGAGCTAGCTTCTAGGTCACACCACGGCTTCAACTTTCCGGTATAGAGCACTCCAGCAGTTTCAATCCAAGGCTGAAAGGTGAGAAGATTGCGCGAAAGGAAAAGGAACGCAGGCTTGGCCAACCGTGGAAACGAGGCTAATGGAAAAATATGATTGATATGTTTCACAAAAATTGAGCAACATGGGATAGCAGTTCAAGTTGAAGCCACTGAAAATGTTCCGTTCTCCTTTTACAAAATGTCCTATGTATCTTTTGTGCCCAGTTCACATATTTAAATAAACAAATATTTATATATATATCTATCCATCCATCTATTTATCAATCTATGTATACATTCCCCCATTATCTTCGATTTATCTCCCGCCATTTGGTTCTTCCACCCTTTCCATCATTCCACATGGCCAGGTGGAGTGAAAGCGAGGAGCGAAAGGCCGTGATTGCTTCGATGCCTGAGTATGAGGCAAAGCGACGCAGGTATATTTGATGGTCCATGGCTCACTGGGGTTCACCCTAATCCAGTCCAACAAAGAACATACTATTCCATCATGTTGCATGTGCAGAGTTCACATGAAGACACAACATGGTTTTCCATTAAAAACAAAAGTGTTGCAATTTGGACCAAAGGGTGCATGAAGGGGATGAGCTGTTTTCAGGGACCATTGTGGTCGTAGCACGTCGTGCCAAGTGCCAAAGTCTGGATAACAAAGTCCGGCATTTCAGTTTCTAAATTCTTTGAAGAAATTCATATCACGTGGGTGTTTCCACGTGCCATGTCAGCTGGGGGTGAACACATTTGGAAATTTCGAGGTGGGTGCAAAAAGTAATACCCGCTGCCCCTTTCAAATTGCAGACATGTTTCCACGCAACCACTGCCCAATGAAAGCTCCAGTCGACCCGCCAGCCCAGTGTGCAGCATTGCAATGCGTTGTGCATCCTTGGCTTCCAAAGCCGCAGTATTCAGTGGATCAGGGGTTGTGTTCATACATAGTTAGGTTTCGCAAAGATCACCCATATATTACCTGGGCATTGAGATGAAATTCAGCAACCTGGCGATTCCTTTGGCATCTCTTCTTGCGAGTTGCTAGCTTCTTTTCAGTTTAACTTTTTTGGTTGTTGATCTTTGTGGTTTTATTCATTGGATGGGGTGATCGATGTATTGGAATCATCAAGTGTAAAAAACGACAAATCATATATGAATGGGGTTATGGGTGGGGAATGGTAGTGGTCGCATGGTATATTGGTTTTCCCGGAAATTTCTTAGCCCCTGAGATTGTTAAAGGGAATTCGCCCCATCAAGGCTTTGGTGATGTGCCTCAACAAGAAGCCCTCCACTTCCTTGAGGTATTCAGCGGTTTCCTAGCTCAATGCGTACTTGAGAAATTGACAATTTAATGCCTGACAAATCGACAAATCAGTGTTTGTGATATTCCTGGTTGATATTGGTCAAAGAACAATTTATTCCCTGTTGGTTCAGGTGAACACATCCTCCACGATGGTGTTCTGGGAGAGGGATTGGTTTCCCGTTGCATCGATGTTCCTTGGTGGGATCATTTATTTTCACCATGTGCTGAATTCTGGTTCAACACCATGCAAGTACATACAAAACAAACACACATGCCTAGGTCTCCTATTCGAGGAAAATGGATATCTGCACTGCTTTCGGATTCCTAGTGCTGCTTTTTCAAGCACGGCGCCTATGCGCCTATGGGTGCGCATGGTACGCAGTACCTTGTGGATCGTGGGTATACCTGTGTTTCGGACTAAATTTAGCAAAGGAAGGGTTCACAAGAATTGGCATTTGGTTTGAGGGACAATCGGTATATAGTTTCCTACTTGGGGGCAGTTCCAGTTGTATTGTAAGTTGTTTTACAACTGTTACGTCTCAAATGTTATTTCCCAACTTATTACGTTTCTTCACCATGGTGTTATGCATTGATAACCCAACTGCACACCCAAGTAGGGTCTGCTAAAAAGGTGTTGTTCCCATTTGCCTTACTTGCAATTGCGATCAGTCATTGTAGAAAACCATGTCTATCCACCACCTGTAGAAAACCATTGTTTATCCATCCCCTTGTAAGTTTTTGAAACCAAGGGGAAGCACATATTCTCATCCCACAACATTAAATACGACCCTAGAAGTTGTGGTCCGGTTTTTTGGTCTATGCATTTGGGGGGCCCATGTTCAGGTATTCAATGTTGGGTGATTACTGATATGTATATATATATATGTGTGTGTACATGCATACAAACAATATGATCAGCTGATGGACAGGGTATTAACTTCCATTCAAAAAGATATACATATGTACCTAGCTTGCCACAGGTTTACATCTATCTAAAACATCAACACGATGTGAATGTATTTGAAGAAACAAAATTATCCTTGTAAGGGATTACCTGAAAGTTCAAATCCCGTATATATTGTTATTCCCCCCGTCTACGATTGCTGAAGATTTATTTTCATCGCTATACTCATGAAAAAAACTACCTGGTTGAGATATGTGTCCATATTGAAAGGTTTCAGTTGTTTTATTTACTGCCATCGAAGAATACATGCGAAAACTATTTGGGTCTACCCCAGTATTATGTATACACATATACTGTTGACCTTCGCACTCTGGTGGTTTATATAAAACCGAGCTTCAAAATGGAGCGACTGCACAAATGAATGATATTTCTATTTTTATATATACCATTAAGTTCAAATATACCCCAATGACCAGGATGACAGGTGCACCCCTGAAAAAATAATATACCCATCCTATACCCAGATCCAGGTCGCGAGGAACATCGAAAAGACGCCACTTCAGGGTCTCAGGAGACAGGGAACAAAGGAGCGTGCGGGAAGCCAACCGGGTTGCCCGCAGGGTGGCCTACTTGTTGGAGTACCATTTCGTGAAAAAGACGTACTACATTCTTGAGAATCCGATCTCCTCTGTACTTTGGAGGTTTAAGTGCATTCAGATGTGCTTAAAGCGGCATGGGGCAAAACGTGTAGTTGTTCATCTTGGAGCATATGGTACGAACACATTAAAACCAGCTTTTTGTCTTCTTATTGACAGAAGTTTTGAATTCTGATGTTTGTCCGACTTTTGTGGAATTGTGGTTGAGGTAGCTATATGTTGGATATATAGTAGATCTTACAACATATCTATTTTTGGTTCGGGAGATTCCGTTATATCAAACAAGATCCTCTGTTGTAGTTTCTTCACCACGAGTCATGTTTGACACCTATGTTTTTTGTGCACCCCATGTCCGGAATACAAAAACAATTGGTCATATACCCAAATTTTGCTTCCTTCAGGTTGTTCTCTATGGAACAGCACCATGGATGCACTCCTTGCCGCAGATTATCACCCCTGATATGAGGACTGAATGTATTCCCACATACAAACACTCTCTTAACATGATCTGAAAGAACCAATGTGTTGTCCATGATAGGATCAATCTTGATCGGATCAGAAAATTCCTCAAATTTCAGACTGTCCGTCGCTACAAATGCAGAAAGACGGGTGAGGAGAAGATTGCCTATATCTTAGAACTTGATGTGAAAATTCACTTCCCATCGGTTTACAAAGGAGCACCCTCTTACACATAACCATGTATATATATATACAATTCTTGAAATGGGCTACAGTAAAACCAACAACCAAAAATGATGCTGCTCATTGTAAACTGGTGGGTTCTTTGTGGTTCCATTTCAACAGCACCCATGCAATACCACAACTTGTGGAAGCCTTAAGGTAGGCGGTCGTGATCTACATGGAACCCAGAAGTATCCGGGTTCCCTCGGCTTGACTGTGCCCTGGTTATATCACCAAGTATATATGCATGTACTTCCCCACATCCGATCCTTATCTGGGTGTCTACCAATAAAAAAAAATATATATATATATATATTGATACAACTTGTGCGATTTGTTCACATCCCACCAACTTCGTTTTTAAATATGCTTTAGACACAATCGACAGTCACCTGAACATTCCCCAAAACACTTGAGGTGGGTCGCTTGATGAAGGCCAACATGGACAAAGTGAAATCCACCAATGTCCTGACGGACCAGGGATTGGCTTTCATGGATCGTGAATCCGACGATTCATCTGATTCGGGCTTGGAGGGGTTGGCCCACTAATCCTGGGGTTGGATCTTGGGAGAATCCATCGTTCTTTGATTTTAAACCATTCCCATTTATAAACTCTAGTTTGTATACTGGGGCCAACTCCCATGCCAACCTTGAAAAGTTTGCCAATTAGGCATTCACCGCGTGTCGAGATTTGGTGCACACGCTGACCGAAATAGAAAAATAGACCTACAAACTTAGCACATTTGGAAACCTTTGTTCGTTTCTGATTTTGGGGTAGACCGTGTCCACGCGTGTCCAGGCGTGCCACGGGACATATAACAGGGGTGTTTTCGTGCCAGGCCGTGTCAGGGTATGCCATCATTTTGCAATGTCATTTTTGGGGATTTGACACATGTTTGGATGCAAATCCTAGGCTATTTAGTCTCAATCCGTTCACCGAGCCTGCCATGACAGCTGTTGAAGCAGAAGCTGGGGTTCGGAAAGGGCCAGGGCAAAAGGCCGGGATGAGCAAGGGTAAGTACAAAGCACTAATGTTTTACAAAGGCAAATGCAAGAGCAAGGCTGTCGTCGACAGTGGCAAGGGCAAAGGAACGCACCAAGGTGACCAAAACCTTCCCACACCTCCTGCCAGTCTTGCACTGACAATCCCGGACACACCTTCCCCACCCAAAAGTGATGAACCCAAAGAAGCTGCGCCGCCCACAGGTGGAACACAGACAATGCCCATAGGGTCTACCGGTGATGCCAACATGACACCACCGCCGGGAACTACTGCCACAGGAGAAATCAAGATGACACCACCAACCACGGGAGCTACTCCCCCAGGAGAAACCAAGATGACACCACCGCCGCCGGAAGCCACAGCTGCCAGAGGTGATGCCAACATGACACCACCGCCCAGTAACACCAGTAAGACAGGTACCGGCCCCACCACGACTCCACCACCTGCACACCAACGCGCCACACCCACTTCAAGTCCGGGTGACACGCAGTCACCGAGTACTGCACCAGCCACGGATCCCAATGGGGTGAAAGGCAAGCTCAAAGGCAAACTCAAGGCAGCTAAAGGTAAGTTGCAGGGAGGCAAAATGGGAGGAATCGGCAATGGGAGTAAGGGCAAAGGTGTGGGAAACAACGGGGCAGCTGGCCAGACTTCCGCTGTTGCTGAGGCCGGGTTTTGTCACAACTTGACATGGTTTTATGTTAGTAAAATTTGGAAAACAAGCGTTTTTTGAAAGAAACAATTGTTACATTGTGTTTTCTTTTTTTACGCAATGACAAATGTCAGGGCACCTCGGGCCAAGCACAAAGTGTTCCAAGGCTGGTTGTATTTCTCGGCTTGTATCAGTAAATTATGTCTAAATGCATGCAGGCCTCCGCAGAGGAGTTTTACCAGTGCGTCTATGCTGTCGGACCATACTGGCCCGGTTGCTATGGAACCCCTGGCAGCCCCTGGTGAAGACGGGAGAGTCAAACGGGTGGGTTCCTCAAAACAAAGTTTCTGTGTTATACAACGGCTAGTGGTTTTTGGCTGAGGTGAAGCTGCTGACCCCGGAAATTCAAGCACAAGTCCAGGCTACCATTGAATGCTACAGAAGATTTTCTTTATCAGCGAATGTTGAAAAGCCATTTGCGGGATTGTCTTTTTTCGCCCTTATCAAAACTAAACATACAACCTTACGTGGGAATCTAGCCCAACATAATTTTCAACATTCGGTGGTGTACTAGCTCTCAATCCCATTTCCACTTGATGTATTGCGCATATATGGCTAGGCCATGTCAAACCCCAAAGAGCTGGATGCGTTGATTCCGGGGGAAGCAAAGCGCCAGCGAGAAGCGCTTCGCCGAAAGATGAGCAATGGAGGCCCCAATATGAATCAATTTGGTTTCCCATGTGTTGCCTCATGTATCAATACCTGCATGCACACACACACATATATATATATGCTTGAGTTTGGGTATCAATATGTATGTGCATGTACACCTAGCGGGAAAAGAAGATAGGTAGATAGATACAAAGATAGATAGATAGATAGATAGATAGATAGATAGATAGATAGATAGATAGATAGATAGATAGATAGATGTGTGTATATATATATACATTTAAAAGTAAGAAGAAAGCGTGTCTGTAATGTATGTTGCAAGTATATGTGCGCACATTTGTTTACCTGTATTTAACTACAATAAAAATTAAATTAAAATATATCTAATTTCAACAAATCTTTTTTATGTATATATATAATATGTGTGCATGTGTAAATATGTACTCACATATGTTTGTAAATATGTATATTTGTTGTTCATATGTATGCATACCTCTGTATATATATATATATATGGATCTATCTATGCATTTGTTCCTGAAGCTGTATTTGTAGCTGTTTATCTTTCTATTTTTCTATCTGTCTAAATCAACAAAAAATCAAATATGCACACTCTTGGTGAAAGTCCCTATGATAATCAGCCCACCTTGGCCAGATCCCACCTTTGGAGGTTTAAAGCCGGGGCTCGTGGAGAAGTTCGCTGCTGCCAAGACAGACGCGGAGAAGCCACATACCCAACTTGCCTCGGGATCCAACAGTAGCTGTCTGATTTTGGATACGGGTTGGTGCCCCGAGGTTTCAGAATCTGAAGGAGTTCATCATGGACCCGACCCTGGAATCAGTCCAAGTTGAAAGCTGGTTTGTTGAGTACCTTGAGCAAATTGGAACAAGGAATATCACATAGGATCCCGAAATTGTTCCTTGGCTCCCTCTTTTGTAGCCCCTGAATGTATCCGTTATACTTATATGGGGACTATATGGAAATTATGTCAAGGAACCGTTTCGGTTAATATCTCACTTTATTCGGATAAACCATGTTATAAAACTATAAACCCATCAGCTTGGCAGGCAAGCGAAGGAGAAGTCGAAGGGTGTGTATGTTGAAAAGCCTCTCTGTGACCTTGAAGCCCTGTACAGCTCACCGGAAGACCGGGCATGGCTGAAATCAACAATAGTTGACAGTCTTATGCTCAGATTTTTGGTGACCTGTTATCATTTGATTGTGAACCTGAACTATATCAACGCTCAGAACAGCTTGGAGCTCCGCACCCACAGGCCCAGTTCTTAGCAAACAAATGCACCCAGGTCATGTCGGACACAAGGTCAAAACACACAACATTGAATCAGGACCCCGAAAATCCACGACGTCGTTTGTACAAAGTTTTCGAGAGCTTCAAGCACACAAGTGCATTCCTCAGATTATCCCCCATGGTAATGAACACAACTTCCCACTCCCCTGGATTCAGGTGAACGGTCGAAAGTCCGATACGATGGTATCGGGGTCTCAGGCAGGGTGCATGCCAACAAGGCTGCGCGGCAGAGCTTGGCAGATAGCCTGACTGGGAAGCAAGCCCACTTTACTGCTGGGGGGAACCAGTTTCCAAGTGGAAACACTGGGGATGGCCAACCAAAGAATCCGAAGAAAGCGAAGGCACCGAAGGCAGGGTATGGCTCTCAACCAAAATGTAAAATACTATCCGGTGAATTTGTTTCTGACTCACTGCTTCAACATTTACAATTTACCATCAGCTGCAGGCTAAGACCCCTGAAGAACTGCGTAAAAAAACATGGCAAAAGGATCTGGCGCAGTGGTGGGCTTACTTGAAAGATCATTCTTTTTGGTTTCGAATCCCCAATAATCACAAAACCTGAGGCTTGCAGCCCTTGGCAACAAAGCCCGGACTGCAGCCGCAGCTTTGACCACTCATGGCATCGAGAACCAAGAGGCGCATATATATATATATATATATCATGCTTTTCTTTGACTTGAAAGCCTATCCAATCAATATATGTTGGAAAATTGGAATTGTCAAAGAATTTGCCAACACATATTATGCAGTGGCGGGGTTAAGGGCGCATCATGCCCAAACAATATCACTGCTTTTTAAAACAGGATTCTTTTGACCTTCAGCGACCTCATATGCTTTGCTTGGAGGCCACCAAGCAAGCTTTGGCAGATTGCTTTGCAAACATCCAATCTTACAAGCAGCAGTCTTGTACTCAGTTTGGGTGCCCATTTTCCAATGGTAAGAATCATCTACTTCAACAAATCTTAGGATTGACGACATGGTCTTCAAGGGAAAGACACTTGACGAGTGCGAAGCCAAGCTCAAGTCGTTGGAAAAATCTTTGGAGGCCATATCAACCATCTTCTAACTCCCGCCAAGTAGCGTGAAATCTGGGATGCTGACTCAGTGATGGCCTTGTTGATCTCCATGCAGCATACCTGAGATGCAGGCCATCCAGAAAACTGTGATTGATGCAGAGATGATTGTTGGCTCCTATGAGCGTCGTTGGGGACCAAGACCATTGACGTTAGATATGAAACATATGTTAAATGATCGATAATTTCTGATCTATCCCATATCTCTTGAGTCTTCCTTTTTGCCTTTAGGTATGGCCGCCATGAAGCGAAAAGCAGAAGGGCAGGGTAAGAAGAAAGCCAAATCAAAGGCAAAGGCGAAGGCGAAGGCCACGGAAACACCAGAAACACCAGTGAAAATGGAAAGTCCGGAGGAGGATGCTGAATGGCCTGAAGAGGAGAACTGGGATGATGCTGGTGAGGTGGAATGGGAGTAAAAACATCTCCCATCATTTTTGTGCTCAAATATCCGTAGATGGTTGAAAGCCATTTGGACCTCAAGGTTTAGTTGTTGGCCAGGCATGGCAGTATGTTGCTTGGGGCTCTCTCTTCCGACTTGGAGAGAATGAATACCCTCGGCATTTGAAAAATATTTTGTTTCATTGAACCCTACCAATTTCGAAGAAAACACAATCTCGTTGTTTGTGTTGCCGGGGCGGGGCGCAACATGCAGTGCCTGCATCCAAAGCACCGATGGCACACAGAAAAGATAGATGTGTTCCCGCAGCCAAGTTGCAACCCGCTGTGAGTTTTCATGTGCAGATATGCAGAGTTTCGATCCAGCGCAATTTCCTTGGAAGTTTGTGTGATGCCCGCAGTCTTTTGGGGATCGATGTGAAGACCACATCGCAATCATATTTCCATTAAACATTTGTTGGGGGCCCTCAATGGGGAAAATAAGAACAATGTCGGGTTTCAAAAGACCACCAACAATATTTCATTTTCAAGTCTAATGGTATCTTAGGGGTTTCTTGGAAAGAAACCAAATCCTGGAAACGCAAATCTTGATGAGTATTAACTGGATCCCATTATCGGTTACATGTACTTGGGTATCAACAAACAGATATCGCCTACTTGTTTGTTGAGCCACTAGCCCTCAGGTCCAAACATACGTTGATCCCTCCAAAAAGTCTACAACAATGGGGTGGGAATATACATTTGTATATTTATACATATCTATAGTAAGTTCATACATATGTACATACAAATTTCAAAACATATGTATATATATATATAAATATGCTTCATTTTTATCATGTTTCTACTTATCAGTCAAAGTTGAGGGGCCTCATATACCTACTCCGTTACCCAGAAGCCACTACGATCATGATATATAATGGTTGATCCAGCAATGTTGTATTCCCGCAATTTCGACCAAGAATGGTTTGTCGACCACATACAAAGCAGTCCGACCTTTAACCATGACAACTTGTCGGGGGGCCATGGAAGAGAACATCGCCCAGTTTGTTTCTGATACCGTTACTGAGCTCTTTGATATGCTGGGCAAAGGAGAGGTGGGGTTTAAGCAGTTCTGATTCCGATTCACTGATTGTTTCATATTCATTGCATACATTTCCAACATGTAGATGAGCCTTTGTTTCAACAGGTGGCCATGAAAAGAGTGAAATCACTCGTCAGTTGGTGGCTTATTTTTTGAAGGTTGGCCCAGACCCTTACTGCCCATAATATACAATATGATCACCTGCCCTCATAGCGGCCAAGGTCGCTTCGATCGCTTGCCGTATCATCTGATTCCTCAGAGCGTGCGGGATCTTGCAGAGTCTATCAGGGCTAGACAGACGAGTAGAGGATGTGGACCCGTTCTGTGGAAATGGATCATGAAACAACCATGGCGCCACTTGTTTTATGTAAGCCTCAGATACACTGTTTGGTGTGACTTAGTTAATATTAATGTAACTTGAGGGATACCTATTTACAACGAAATATGCTATCTAAGGAAAAGCTCTGCCGCGTCCATTTGAGAATCTAAGCTGCAACCAGAAGACTATGTGTTTGTGAAACATGTGGAATCTTACAATCGTTGACAGCACTGCTCCCAAGTAAGGATACCCTTGACTGTGGAATCCTGGCTGAAGTGGGTGACCCCATTCAGGGTTTGGGTTTGAGGTCCACTTGGGAAAAATAGAACCATATAACGACTTTCAACGGTAGATTTCTACACCACCCATGATTTCATTTCAGATGTGAAATATGTTTGAACTTAATTTCTCCGGGAAAGATCCCGACAACACACCCACTACATATATATGTTATGGGTCCATGCATCTATGCTCCAAAGGCCTGGGAAGACTCTCATGGAGTGGAGGAAAAAATCATGAAGCAAGCGATGTACCTACCGCACCTGATACTTGGGTCTTTGTGTGCGGCAGGGAAATCCGAACTGGTCGCTGGCAGAGAAGTTTCTTGTTTAAAGACATCAGCTACATCAACGCGGTGTGTATTCCAAAAACCAAAACCTAAAATTGAAAATAACACAGCGGACCATCTCGTGAGATGTTGCCCATCTGAGGCTCTATCCAATTATTGGAAAACTCTGGCTCACACTTCATGGTTCAAACGGCACCCGATTCTTTCAGCCACTAGCCGTACAAAACTGTTGTTTCTGGGTGTATGGAATGATGATGAAAATGATGATGAACATTATGGTGAACATGATGGTAAGTAGGGATGAAGTTGGTAATGATGTCAAAGATGTCAGCTTTGTTTTTTTGAATAGATTGAGTTTCGGCCTCAGGCGGAATCTACAAACTTGGACCGTGTGATCCCATTTCGCTTCTATGGGGACGGATGTGAAGCTATGAGCCTCTTGGATGTCGTGAAAACCCAAAAATCAAGTTGATGAATGTAACTGTGGACCATAAATCAAATCTGCCGCAATTGAAGTTGAAACCAAAAAACATAAATCAAATCTGCCACAATTGAAGTTGATATGCTTTCTGGCCATTCAACAAACTAAGAAAAGCAGAAGTTCGAGCTCATGTCGCTGATCTGCCCAGCGTCCTCAAGATCGGCCACGCTGGATACCAGATTCTTGACACTTCGCTGCATGCCAGAGTTGCCCACCACTGCGCACCATGGCAACAACAGGGATCGATGGGTTGATGGTTGATACTTTCTAAGGATCACTGTCATGAATTCCTCCTACGCTCGGGGTGGGGCCCGTGATTTGGTGCTGGAGTATGTGAGCTGGAGCATGAACTGCTTAAGTTTCTTGACCCCAAGTGTCATGCACCAATGTATTTTTTAAGTACATAAATCCCTGATGCAAAACATATTCTGAGGTAAAACGCCTCTACAATATGCGAGCTTGACATTCATTACCTTAACACCATTTTTTTCATATGAGCTT